GGCCTCCCAAAGTTCTGTGATTCTAGGTGTGATCCACTGCATCTGGCCCCCGTTTCTTCCTTCTCTGTAGAAGGTTTAATACTCTTTCCCTGATGCCTTCCCACATTATCCAGGACTTCATCTTTGCAATTTCCTCGTGCCTCCTTCCTCCCCTCACCCCTAGGGGATGGGTCAGAAGTTCATGGAACAGTTCACCTTTATGGCATTGTTGAGCAGTGACCCAGAGCTCCTGAAACAGCCATTGTCCTTCTGCATCTGGGAGAGCCACGTGAGAGACTGGGTAATGTGTGCTTCATCAATGAAGATGTAGGATCGAGCCTGGGCAAAAGTCTTCAGTACAAAAGCCGTGAGCCTAGCGGGACGAAAAATGCAGTGCTGAGGCTGTTTTCATTGAGCACTTTACTGCTCTGTTTTGTACACATAGGTTCCCCCATCACAGTGCGCCCCCAAGAAAGTTAATCAGCTATTACTGAGAGTTTGGAGACTTTTTCTTTTAACTTGGAAATTTCTTTTTTCTTTTTCTTTTCTTTCTTTCTTTCTTTCTTTTTTTTTTTGCTGCCACATGTTGTTCAATCCATTACCAACTTGTCCTTGCTTCCTAAAGCATTTCTAGGCCACTTTAGAGATTCAAGCTCCTTCTAGTTTTCTTGGTTGATTAACTAAGTAAGGCATTTGCTTTTACACTATGGGCTTTATGCATTTATTTCCTTTCATAGATTTCTTAGTTTACTTTCTGTAGTTTTAACTCTAATCAACTAACTTCTAATGTTCTGCTTCAGTAACTATTTCCCTCCATCATCCTGCCTCTCCACCTTTTTTTCCTGTGTTTGCCTGTGTGGCAAAACTACAGAGAGAGAGAGAAAGGATATCATCTAGTAGAAGGTAGTAAGGTATGACGGTAGTAAGGTGTGCTCCGTCATACCTTACTACCATGTTGTGGTCTTTTCTAGAATTTTTCTAACACCTCTTAGTGCTGAGCAACAATTTAAGGGGGCAAGTTACAGACTTATAATGTTCTCTTAGCAACATGAGAAGGAAGAGGGTCTGGGTATTTTGGATTAAAAAAGTCAACCTAAAAGTGTTCTCAATTTTGCCACTTATTAGATGTTTGCTCCTGACACATTTGTTTATCCACACTGAATATTAGTTTTCTCCTCTGTAAAATGAAGCTAATAACTCTCACTTTGCAGAGTAGCTATAATAATTAAATACGGTAGCATTATGGTTTAGAAATGGTTTCTCCACCAAAAGTCATGTTAAAACTTAATCCCCAATGTGGTAGTATTGAGAGATGGAGCCTTTAAGAGGTGATTGGATCATGAAGGTTCTACTGTAATGAATGGAATGAATGCATTCCTAGATTAAAGGGCTATCATGAGAGTTGGACTGGTGGCTTCATAAGAAGAGGAGGAGATGCTAGCCCAGTCTCTACAAAGTAAAACAAAGAAAGTAAAAGAAGAGAAGGAGAGACCTGACTGAGCTCATCCAATCCTCTTGTCATATGATGCCCTGCATCACCGTGGGACTCTTCAGAGTCCACACCAGCAAGAAGACTCTCAACTAGACGCGGCCCCTAGACTTCAGACTTATCAGCCTTCACAGCTGTAAGAAATACATTTCTTTTTTTAAAAATAAATTTCCTAATTTCAGGTATTCTGCTATAAGCAACAGAAAATGGACGAAGACAGGGAATCTATATATGCATGTTTTGAACTCACAGTTGAAACTCAGAATATATTTTCTTTCTTACCAAGTGTTGCCCTGGTTCCTGCCATATTTTTCCCCAAAGGTGCTGTAGGAGCCGTCTTGGTGTTTGTAGTTCAGCTGTCTCTGGTAACCTGAAATGGAAGGCTACAGATGGTTCATGAAGCATTAAAGAAAGGCAGGCCATCCATATGTGCAGGCTGATGCATCCAGGAGCCACGGACATTTTATGACCTCCTGTGATCTGCCATAGTTTTGTGAATGTTATGGATACATCAAAACACAACATCCTGTTAGAGTGTGGGAAGATTGCTGTTTTCATAAAAATGGTCATCGTGGGTTAATATTTGATGATATAACTGAAGCCTCATTGGGAAAAGTTTCATTAGAGTAGCAAAGTACATTTTTGTCTGTCTCACGTACCACTGATGAGATAGCCAATGGCCTTGGCCTTGATCTCCTGTGTCAGCTGCTGGGTTTCATTCAGATAGTTCAAGACATAGATGTTAGGAGCAAAGAGAACCATGTTCTGTTCTCCACAGCCATAGGGCATCTGGAGGAGATTTTGTATATTTTGCATAGCAGAACCTAGTATGTCACCTGGGGAATGTGAAAGATTAGATGTCAGAATAATTTCAGTTCATAAGCAGCCAACATTATTCACAAAAATGGCTTTTAAGTTCAGAGTCTATCATTTAGGTAAGAGATAAGTTATACACACAGAGTGTGATTTCCAGGATCCTAAGAGTCTATAATTTAGGTAAGAGATAAGTTATACACACAGAGTGTGATTTCCAGGATCCTAACAAGAATAGCAGCTATCAAGAACTTGATAATTCAAATACAAATACATAGATAAGATGTACAGTGGCAACTCTTTTGGCCCAGGTTTACTAAATGGAAGGTGACTCACCCAGAACTGAGAAAGAAGCTCTGGCAGATTCTTTGACCACATTTGATGGGAGCTTCAAGGACAGCCGCTCAGACACATCAGCACCTTTAGAAACAGACAGCCCATGTTAAAGGAGGACATCTACGATTACAATACAATTTAGCGATTATAATGTAGTGAGAGCTTCAGAGCCACACTGCCTGGATATGGTACTGGCCCCGCTTTGTGACCTTGGGTAAATTGTGATGATTTGAGGAAAAAATACATGTAAAACATTCAGAACAGGATCTGCAACATATTGAATTTCAATGAATGTGAGCAATTATTATTATTGTGGTTATTATTAGAGTGAGCAGTAATGTTATTATATCTCCTTGGGGATCTCTGGGTTCTAGGAATAAGAATTTGATTTAATGATGAGATTACCTTTAACAGTCTAATTGCTTTTGGCACTGTGTGACTTCCAGAGTCCTTCCTTTCCTCACTTAACTATGTTTTGCATTGCTGTGCTCAATAGCTTTCTAAAAGAAGTCTAAGACTTCGTGGGGGAACTATCGCTCTCTTTCGTAGCAATATTAAGACTTATGATAATACAAGTTATTTTACTGCCTCCCTTACTCTATATAATATTTGAATGGATTCCCATGTTTATAAATAGATAACATGAATATACCTTAAATTAGCCCTTCTCAAATGACAAATACAGTGTTGTATACACTCTGGACATAGAACTAATAATGTGGCAGTGCTGTATAAAAGCTAGAAGTAGTTCTCAATGATATGATGAAGTTAAATGTAAATTATTTTCTGACACAGAAAACACACATTTGTAGTGAGATGGGTAGAAAATGCTATATGTTTTGTCAGCAGCTGTTTTAGAGACTATCTCTTGGGATTCAAACTTATCATGACCCTGCTCTGTTTAGTTTTTGTTGTTGTTGTTGTTTGTTTGTTTGTTTGAGACAGAGTCTCACTCTGTCACCCAGGTTGGAGTGCAGTGGTGCGATCTCGACTCACTACAACCTCTGCCTCCCAGGTTCAAGCTATTCTCGTGCCTTAGCCCCCCACGTAGCTGGAACTACAGGCGCCCGCCACCAGGCCTGGGTAATTTTTGTACTTTTAGTAGAGACAGGGTTTCACCATGTTGGCCAGGCTGGTCTCAAACCCCTGACCTCAAGTGATCCTCCTGCCTCAGCCTCCCAAAGTGCTGGGATTGCAGATGTGAGCCACCACGCCCGGCCAAACCTGCTCTCTTTCTACCTCGTCCTAGGACACTCTAGGCTTCTGCAGCTGGGCTTGTCAGTGAGCAGCCACTGAGCTATCCAGGTAAAATAACTATGTGTAAACCAAGAAAGCCCAGGTATTAGTCCTGTCTGTACCACCTGAGTCACATTAACTTGCTCTCTTGGGCTCAATGTCTTCGTCTGTAAAACGTACATAAAGAAATATTTAGTATTATGCTGCCTTTAATGGAAGACGCTGAAGACCGGGAGATAATATGTCTGAATATGCATTGAGGTTTATACCCCTCTGTGGCTTTGATCCCACTGTGATTATGAGGATGGACTCTTACCTGAGGCACAGGTCATGGAATTGAAAGTCTTTTCTTGCTCAATACCTTCAGCCTTGGATGAAAAGAAAGAAAAGGAGAAAAGAGAGAAACATCCCGGTGACAAGAGAACAACCATAGATTCCTTTTTTTGATGGGTAGGGTTTACATGAATGATGTTTACCATTCTACTCTTTTTTTCCCCAACTTTTATTTTAAGTTCAAGGGGGCATGTGCAGGATGTGCAGGTTTGTTACATAAGTAAACGTGTGCCACGGTGGTTTGTTGCACAGATCATCTCCTCACCTAGGTATTAAGCCCAGCATCCACTAGCTATTCTTCCTGATGCTCTCCCTCCTCTCACTCCCACCCTCAGACAGGCCCCGTATGTGTTGCTTCCCTCCATGTGTCCATGTGCTTGCATCATTCAGCTCCCACTTATAAGTGAGAACATAACATCCTACTTGTTATTAAATTATTACAAATCCATAAAACAGTGAAGAACAAAGGAAGGTGGTAGAAAGAAAATGGGAAGAGATAATAAGGGCAGTGAATCAAAGGTAATGGGCATGAGAGATATGTGAATCTTAGGAAAGAGGTGGAGATCAAGAAATTGCACTCAAATAGTTTGTGAAAAAAGATTTACAATAGCTGGCAATGTCTGCTGCAATGCTTTTAGGATAGGAAATTCCATTAGTCTTACAGGATGTATTATGTGAGCATGATATTAATGGTTCTTTGTTGTCTCAAGAGTGACCGCCCAGTGTTGCATTCTTACAGTTGTTAGGGACTCCCAAAAATATGTTACCTCCACCAACAGGGTTTTGATGACTGTGTCTTTTCTTTTAATCTCAGGGACCTCAGCAACCTCATTTCCACAGAGTTCTAGGGACTGCATTGCCTCTGCACTCACTGAGAAGTTCACATTCCCTAAAACAAGGAATATTGAAAACATGAGTATCCATTTTGATAGTCCAACCACCTTTAAGGACTACACCTTAAACTTACAATTGGCCAGAATAGAAAATAATGGTAAAAAAAAAAAAAAAAAAAAAAAACCCCACAAGGTTAATGTACACTGAGTAGCCAATGTCCAAGAGTAGTGATTATGGGGACTAGCTTGGGTGAGAACAGTGGGAGGAGGTCATTGTGGACAGAAATAGGAAAAAATATTAACTTTATAGAATTATATCTATGGCAAATAAAACAGAGAATATGATGAAAAAAGTGCTCAGACAGCCACCATCCTTGTTGATTGATAGGCCCTTTTGGGTACTGTCACTTACCCAGAGTTTTAGGAGTCACTGTCCAAGACAAGGTTTGCCGCTCATTTCCACAGATACAATAGGATTCTTCTCCCTTTGTGTTTTGGGAAGCTAGGAAGGCTGGAGAGGCTTTCAGCTGCACACTGACCTATCAGCCCATGTGAGGCAGAGACAGAAATGATGAGAATATGGAAAGACGTGAACACGTAGAATTGGGGCCAAGGGTGAGATGCTGCAGTAAATTGGGATTTGTAAGAAAAATGGATGTCATATAGATTCATCCATGCTTTAAGAAGCATGGAAATGGCAATGATACAAATCAAGGCTGGTTATGTATTAGGAGGATCTGGCATTTGCGTTAGGGTAGATTGCAGACATGCAGACTTGGCAGTAGCAGATGAAAGGGAAAAGCAGTGATTGTATATTGCCCTCGGGAGTACTATCTGCTGCTATGTAGATTTTCTGACTGTTTCTTCCTCCCTCTCTTCTCCTATTTCTTACAACATATATTACATGTCTACTCCATACAAGACATAAAACACGGGGAATGGTATATGAGAGGCTCCCGATCTTGAGGATATTGTGTTACAAGAAAGATGATCTATATACAACCACTATTACATAATGTACAAAGAGATACGTGCTATAAGATAAATTAAAATTATATATTGTGGAGATTTCAAGATGAGAGGTTGGAGAATGACACTCATGGAATTGAGAAAGCTGAGTTATGTGTCAGCTTCAAGAATGTTCCTGGCATAAAATCTAACTTGTAGCAAAGAATTCTGCACGCGCTAAGAAATAAAAAAGCAAGGTGTGGCTTAGAGAGCCATGGTTTAAGCACCCATAGCACACATAGCATTGTATTATCTCTCTGATCATGTCCTGCTTTGCATAGCACTAATTATTCACAGTGCTAACACACAATTCCTTGAATTATCCTTAGTCTCAGGAACAGAATCAGGAGCTGACTGATCAAAGGAATCTTTTGTTCTACCCACCTTTCCTGTTCACCCTCATTTTCCTTACCCGGATGCATTTGGGAAGGTAATTTAGGACCGTGGCCTTGAGTGTGAAGACCTCTCCACGAATCACAGAGTAGGGCATTGTGAGCTCCACAAAGAAGGGCTGGAAGGCTCGGAGAGAGGCAGTGGAAGAGATACCAAGTCCAGCGTCTTCAGACAGGCAGAAGGCTCCTGCCTTCCAGTCGGTGATGGTGTCAGGGACTGTTACTCCTACCTCAGCCACACCTGATGAGCTGGGGTGGAGGACAAGTGAAGAATACAAATAATGAATGTGAGCTACCTTTCCTCAAGTGAGAATCGATATGCATAAAGCTAATGTCAAGAACTGAATCCACTTAAGGGTATATGGGTGTGTGCATGCGTGTGAACACTAGATTATGTCCTGGGATCTGAGCTGGGAAAACAAAAGCCACTAAATGGTACCTCTCCCTCTTATCAACAAATGATCACATCCCACATGTCTGTACTTGGAATAAAAATATTTGAATTGTGATTCATTTTGGTCCTTAACTTCCCTTGCTAATGTGTAATCCCATAATTAAGCATTTTTAAGAATCATGACCAATGAGACCACTGGATTAATGTAGCCTGATTTGTTTATGTGCCTGCTCCAGCCCTGATATTTACAGAAGGCTCCCTGAATGACATTAAGCAGTACATATAGAACTGAATATTATAGTTCTCATGTCTACTATTTGACAGTATCAGGAATTATTATTTTAGAATTGCTCAGCACTGAGACGATTATATTAATAAGCCTATACAATTGCAGCATCTTACTTAGGTCTATCCTAAAAAGAGGTTAAGATAATTATTCAGAACCTTTCAGAAAGATTATCTTAGAATTGAAAATGTTGGAGGAACCACATTCCCTCCCCTTCAGCAAATGGAGGAAAGTAAAGTTACTTACTCCACTGCCACCAACTCCCAGATCCAAGTCTCAGGAAAATAGCTTCGCACCGTTTCAGGGACTGGCCCTGAACTTTGTTCATTATTTAAAGGCATTATATTATAGGCGCTCATTTGAGGAGGATATGGCCTCCCTGCTACTCCTAGACCTACTAAAGTAGAGAAAATTGTCTAGTTAGGGGAAAACATTCATTAATTTCATGGTGCACACGTGAGACGTCAGAGAACAAATTTTCAGTTTTCCTGCTCAGACTGTCCTAAAAGTCTTACAGAAGTTGTAGAACTTGGGAACTACTTTGTGGTCCCTCACTCTCTGAAAAGAGAGGAGTCTTTGTCAAAGGTGGAAATTCCATGTATCCTAGACATAGCATAATTTGATGTGAGTGGAAGCTGGAAAAACAAGATCATTTGGAGACAGTTCTGTGGGTTTTGTGGGGAAGGAACAGTTTTGAAGTTGAGACAGTATTGCTTCATTCTTAGAGAATCTCAGCAGGAATTGTAAAATGCTCTTTAGGCATTGTCAGTGGTTGCTATACTGAAAATGGAATTACCAGTGGAGTGAACAGAATTTAATGACTTAAATTCTGTGTACTGTATGGAAGTTTGCAAAACTGTTGTTCTCTGGGGAATAAGATTAGAGCATTAGATTTTATTCCACTTATTTTTTGACATCTGAAATAAACAATTTGGATGTCAAAAACAGATATTTCCATTTGGAATGGCTGTGTAGTTGAGACAAAGAAATCATTTACCAATGTGAGAGGGCAGAGAGCTAGACATGTAGGCAATTTTGTCCATGTTGTGCCTGAAATCATGCTTACTAATTGAATTTGAGTTAAGATCTCTCTCCCATGTATCCCATCTGATATTTCAGAAATACCTTGTGAAAGAATACTTATAAGGAAAAATATATTTCTAGCAATTTCACCCTAATAGTTTTCTACACTGAAAAAAGCATCAGTAGTAATTTCTTTAGTGAATATCATACACCTTCTTGCCCCATGTCCTTCCAAGTGGTAATGATTTCTGACTCTGATTTTTCACTGATGTTCTGTCCTCTCTGTCTTCACTCTTATCTTAAATATTGAAATATCTAAAAGGATGATACATCTAAATGAACTATTTTCCATTTTCTGTTGGATATGTCAAGGGCCCTCAAACTCCTCCAGTTATTGCAGTTAACAAACCATGGCATTATGTGTTATTTCAACTCCATTCAGAGGACGATGGCTATATCCTTCCTACTCTTACTGTCAACTTGACTTTCCATGTATCCTGTCTTAGTCTCTGTATCAAAGTTTTATTCTTCTGCATGCCACAACTAATAATCTCTACAGTAAATGCCTTTGAATCAGTTTCCCAGGACAAAAATCTTATTTTTTTTTTCTTGCTTCTTTTCCCCATTTGACTTTATGAAAATTTGTTGAACTCTGGACTAAGCCACTCGTACTCTGTTTTGTTGCTGATCTCAAAATACTTCCAATGAAATTTTCTGTTCATGGCTTAAAAAGGGCTGCTCAACCCAGCTTTGTAATACTTTTTGACTTTTAATACCTTCAAGCAAACAACAACAAAAACAAAAAAAAACCCTGAACATTTTCTTTTAATTTAGAATCTAGTGTGATTGAGACACATGTTAGATCATGTCACCCCTCTTCTGAAAAGCTTCTTATTTCACTCATAGTATAAAAGTCAAGTCCTTACTAGGACCTACGAGGCCCACACAATGTGGCCTCAAGTATTGCTCTGATCTCTCTCTCCAACTGCTCACACTTTATTCATTCTGTTCCAACCACACTGGTTTTCTTTCTCTGCTTAGAGCATTTCAGGCATACTCTCACCTCAAAGCCTTTGAGAGATAGACTAGTGAAGAGGTTGTGAACATGAGATCTGGAATCAAACTCCCTGACTTGAATCTACCGCGTGCTACATTTTATTGGCTATGAGATCTTAATGGCTGAGTTATTTAACCTTTTTGGGCCTCAGTTTTTCCGTATGAAAAATGGTGTTAAAAATACCTACCTTATAAGGCTACTGCAAGAATTAAGGAAATCTATCTAAACTCATCTATCTATAACTATCCATTGATCTATCAAACCTACCAATCTATCAATCATCTATCTCCCTATTACCTATCTCCTGGAGCATAGAAAACACTGCATAAGTATTTTCTATTATTGATATTGTTTCCTAGGACTATGACACTCATCTTCCAGAGAGTCACATGGCTTGTTGTCTTCCTTGAAGTTTTTGCTCAAATTTCACTTTCTTGGTAAGATCTTTACTGACCACCCCCCCATTTAAATCTTCAACTTCCTTCAGTCTCAACATCCCTTCCCTACTTGAATTTTTCCATATAGTATTTATGAACTTATAGTGAGCCATATAATTTACTTGCTTATTTTGTTTATATTCTCTCTGAGCCTATTAGAACATAACCTTCATATAGTTGAATAGTTTTTTTTTTTTTTTGAGATGGAGTCTGGCTCTGTCGCCCAGGCTGGAGTGCAGTGGCCGGATCTCAGCTCACTGCAAGCTCCGCCTCCCGGGTTTACGCCACTCTCCTGCCTCAGCCTCCCGGGTAGCTGGGACTACAGGCGCCCGCCACCTCGCCCGGCTAGTTTTTTTGTATTTTTTAGTAGAGACGGGGTTTCACCGTGTTCGCCAGGATGGTCTTGATCTCCTGACCTCGTGATCCGCCCGTCTTGGCCTCCCAAAGTGCTGGGATTACAGGCTTGAGCCACCGCGCCCGGCCAGTTGAATAGTTTTGTTCTTAATGTTTGTTATATAACCAGAAACTATGTCAGTAACTACTGAACACACGAGTTAAAATTTG